TTTTTTTTTTTTTTTTTTTTTTTATAAAGCGGAAGTCTTTGTAGCTGGGTCATTTCATAGTATACACAGGGCACAGTTCAAGTTTGGGGCTCTACTTCAGCTGGAAGAAACTAAAACCTGTTTGAGGGCAATATGTTAAATTCCATTTCTTCCAAAAAAAGTGTGCACAAAGCTCCAGTAAAGTTAATAGAGCTGCTCATGTCATACCAGGAATATTAGACTTTCTAAATATTCCTGTTGTCTTTAATAACCCACAGCCCCTGATGAATCGAGTAAATGGGTTCAAAGGACAGCATAACAAACTACTTTTGTCTGGATGCCAGATCCACATGGATTAACTAGCTCTTCTTCCATTACAACATTTTACCTTCTCATTCAAGGGCAACTTGATACAGTGGCTCAAATATAATCATGGATCAATGAACATAGATTTATGAAGAGTTGTGGAAGGACATATGCATCATGCCAGATTACCACTGAAAGAGCACAAGGGATAGAATATGAATGTGGAAAAAGTATTACTAATTCACATTGGTTAAAATGACCAAAAACTGAATATTTGCCAGAAGAGTGGTAAATTGGTGAAGTATTCATAATGTAATTTGGCAAATGTGGAAAAAACCCTCCTATCTCATGGGCACTCAGATTCTCAAGTTAGACAATGAAAAGTGGTAATGTCCCCCAAGAAATCAGCTGTGATTCTGGAGAACGCTGGCCATAAAAAATACGTAACAGCAGCATATACTGAAGCATAATGCCACTTTGTGGGCTACAGCTATCTTTCGACATACATAAATTTGAATTTCTCTGTTTGATTACATTTGAAAAACAAAATGAAAAATGAACAAGTCATTTTATTCTAATTTCCCCTACAATACAACAAGGCAGACCTGACTTATGGGAGGAAAGATGCTGCCAAATAATTTTTACTAGTAATAATAACTCCTCTGAAATTTGCAAACAACACATTCTGTTTTATTCATTCCTATTTGACAGTTAATGATTTTTCCCCATGTGTTTTCAACTTACTTAATATTGTCAAGGCTGGTTTGATTTTTACAGCTTATTTCTTGACCAAGTCTCTCCAGATCTTGAGTTTTAATCACAGCCCTCCTTAGTGTTTTAGTTCTTTACAGGTCTGCTGTTTATATCAGCAGAAAGCCATTATCTGTGTGCCCCGAAGCAACTGAACTGAGGCAATTTAAAGGCTACAGAAGAGTTTCTCAAACCTTGCATAACAAAGGTGTAAGGTACAAAGTCAAATTTTCTCGAGGCAAGTGGTGTAAACCGTGATAGCTCCACAACGGAGCTTGCTCCTAACAAAATTGGAACAGAAGGTAGATAAACAAGTGAGATTTTAGATTTTAAAAGCCCTGTTTGCTTTGCAAATACAAATAAAATGGGATATTTACGGTAATGTCCTTCAATGATGTAGAAACTAAAAAAGTCACCTGCGCTGGTGAAGCATGTTTACACTGAAGAGAAAATGGTGGGAAAAACTAACAAGCAAGATGGAAGAGCAGACAAAACAACCCTATTTTAGCTAACGTATATATGGGAGAGTAATAAAGAGAAAAAACAAGAACACATTTTAATCTGGCAGATCCTGCTGTTGGAGCAGGTAACTCTTTCTCTGTAAAAGCACCTAATTCTCCCTCAGGAGGCTACTTTAAAAAACAGAAACAGAGACATTAGGCCAAACTCTCCGCCATTTTGTGGACCAAGCAATTCCCCAACTTCCTGGGGGATGCGCAACTGCAACTTGGCTGGCCTGTGGATTTCTTTAAACCATTCTCTCTAAAGCAAGTTAAAACCCCAAATAACCAGCCATTCTGTCACCAGCACAGATCACCAGCTCTCTCGTGTGTCCTCAGATCACAAATGGCAACCGGGACCCACAAACGCTCCCCTCTCACCTCAGAGGGGTCTGTTTCCTGCCCCTTCTCAGGCGACGACCATCCCTCTAAAACTACTGTTTCTTGCAACAGGGCACAAAAAGGAATACCTTTTTGACGCAGGACAAATTTGAAAAATAAGTAAGATAAATAAAATGGAACAGCCGGTGGGTGCCAGGCCAGCACTTACTTCTGGAGGTGCAGGTGATGCGGCCGCTGCCCTCCCCCAGGCAGGTGCAGTCCACCATCATCCAGCCCTGGTAGGGCTTCTCCCAGGTCTCACCGACCACGTAGGACGTCCCGGCTGTGTTGTCGTAGCATCGCTCAGCTGTGAGAGGGAAGGGGATGAGACTCTGCCCAGGGCTATCCCACACGGGGACACCTCAGAGAAGACGAGGAGGAAGTGGCCATACACGCTCTGAGCTGGGTGAGAAGAAGGGAGCTGCCACCTACCCACAGGCTTGCAGGTCCACTCGCCCTTCCCGTTGCCGAGGCACACGCACTCCAGCATGTAGCCGCCAGTCTCGTGAGGCCGGCGCCAGGTATCGCCAATCTTGTAGGACTGGCCACCCTCATGGCAGCGATCTGCAGCGGGAGAGACGGGAGCTGAGGTGAGGGACCACACCAGGGACAGCATCAGACCACAGGAGAGAAGGTAAGGGCCACCTGGCCAGGGGCAAAGGGGGTCAGCTGGGGCGGAGGTGAGGGGCAGCAAGGAGAAGGAGTGAAACAGGCCATGGCCTCCTCCAGCCTGCAAAACGGCACCCGCCATTTTCCCTTGGTACCCGCCATTTTCTGAGCCTCCCAGGCCCTCTCCTCTCTCTTCAGCTAACCCTCACCCAGGTTTCAAACCACAGCTGAGACCTGGCTGGTGAAAAGGGAATGCCAGGGCCTGAAGAGGTGCTGTTTCTGCCTCAGGCTCCACTTGCAGCCTGAGGGCTGGTGACGGAGGGTTTGCCTCCATCTTGTTCTGAGGTGATATTGCTTGGGCCTCTGTGGCCATCCCTATATAGCGTGAGGGACATGGTAGCCAGGCCAGCATGTGGAGAATAAGGAGGTGCTTGGTGTGACACCCCAATGGGACATGAGCCTTCTTGGGTGTGGAAACCCTGCCCTGGAAAGGCAGATTCCTAGTCCACCAGTGCCCCACAGGTCTTGAGGCACTCTGGACCTGCTACCTGGCCCAGACCCAGGGTGGGAAACACGGTGAAGGGCAGCTTACAAACACAGGGTCTTCTTCCAAGAAAAAGAAAAAGGGGAGAAACATGTATCCAGTCACTTATTAGGAGCCACTAAATTGTTTTGTTGGCTCATTTACGAAAGCAGGGAATCTAAAAGTTATGAAGATTGATTCGAAGCCAGTTGCAGGCAGTGAGACTCTCCAGTGAGCTCTAAACCAGGCTGATGATGAGGAAATGAGACTGCTCTTATGTTTGCAATTTCCTTACTGACTCTTTCTTTTCTTACAAGACTTATCATCCCTGCCTAATAAAATCCCTGCCATTAAATTCAGAAGGGCTTCAGCTCTACTTGTTAGGTTCAATACTTTTTTTTTTCCATGCTACAATGATGGCTGGCTTCCGAGTTCTCTGTGGCAATGCTACGAGCATCAGCATGTGTGTCTTAAACAAGAAACTGGATACTTTTAAGAACAAGACTTTTCTCAAAAGGTGCCTCAGGGACTTTGAAATCTCAGTCTGAAAGTCCTGTCACGGTGATCTTCATCTGTGTTCACAGAAAGTCTAATTATGAACTGAAGGGAAATTGTGAACAATTCTGTGACTCAATAAGGAAAGGATTTCCAGACAGAGACAGAGGCGTGAAAGGGAGAGCTGGGGAGAAAGGACCGAGGGAAGAGAGGGAGGAACAAGAGGAAAGTATGGGTCGGCCTGGCAAAAAAGGCATTTCAGAAACACAGAGCTGGTATCTGGATACCAAGTCCCAGCTGCCTCAAGGACAAGTGTTGGCATGACATTTTTGGAGGACAGGGGAACTGGCTCTCAGGCAGTAGTTGTTGTTGTTATTATTATTATTAATTCACAGTAGTCCCATGCTGATGGTGTTATTCTGACTCACTAGCTGAGGAGCAGACCCTCACTTTTTTTTTTCCAGTCAAAAAAACTACTTTCATAAATGCGCCTGTGAAGATATAACACACTTTTGTATATAGTAAATGTACTAACCTGTACGGCTGGACACTAACAGTAATTTTGGGCCTATGTTTTTACACATAGCACTTTACCTCTTAAATAAAAGAGCAATTTGGTTGTGCAAATGTATGTACACAGGGAAAAAACTTTCAATTCCAAGATTTTAATGGGCTTTGGATTCCCCCCCCCCCCCAACTCTAGCTAATGGACATTGGGAATATTGTGTAAATTGCTCTGGAAAATATTACGCTGAGGAACAATAGCTGTAGTAATAGGCTCTTAGTTACATACTGGCAATGGTGCAGCTGATTCTCCCTCGACCAGCTCCAATGCAAGTACAGTCCCAGATCATGGAGTCCTTGGGGCGCTCGTATGTCTCCCCTACTCGGTAAGTGGATCCAGTGTATTTGTCAAAGCAAGTCTCTTCAGCTATGAGGGGAGAAAAAAAAAAAATCAACTTCATGTAAGCATGCCAGTAACATGTACAGTCAACAGAAACACACATTCCTCACACGGATGCTCTGAGCCAGAATATGGGCAGGCATGCCCTGAAAGGATCAATCCCAGCTGTTTGAAATGCAACAGTACAGAAGACAGGAGGGAGCAAACATCCCCTAGAAGCTGTGGGCTTTGTCTTGCTAATCCTCCTTGTTCTGACTTGGCGAAAAATTGAGTATATTAATCCCAAATTTTGCAGCAGTCCCACCGAAGTCAACAGCACTACTTGTGAATTGTTCACAGTCGTGCATGAGTAAGTGATTACAGAATGGTTATGTCGGGGCTGCCATCAGACTTGAGATCTGCCACAGAACAACCTTGTTCACTACTGGACAGATGAAGTTAACTGTGCCATGAGGGAAACTTGCTACTGGACTTCGAAACTGTAAAACTTGGGAATCCCTGCAGGGGAAGGAAAGCTAGATTAAACCCCCTTTTATGGAGGAGTAAGGGGACTGAGTACTCCTTAAAATACTCTAGCCGTGAGGCAGGCAGCACACAAGCCTTGCAAAACAGATTGCTGGGACGCTCCCATCTGTCTTTACATGAACACTATCAGCCAGGAACCAGTTTTTCTCTTTTTTATCTCCAGAGCAGCATAAAGGAGTTACAGCAAACCAGTGGCTTCAGACCAATAAATACAGATAGATCACATCTGAAAATCTAAACTACATTGTATCCCAGAGGGACGCATCTTCCAGCAGACCTTGCATTTAAAGTTCTTTCTGTTACCTAAACTTTTTCTGCAGAAGACTAAACAATCTCATTTTACACTCAATTATAGAAAGCTCACAGAACGGCTAGGGTAGGGGGGATGCTGTGGAAAGTTGTAAGTTGAAATATTTTTAAACAAGCTGACGACACTGCACAGCTATGAAAAGTTGGGGTGAAGCAATCAAACAGCACAGAGCCAGAGCTGCAAAGTGACTCCAGATTTGAACTTCCCCGTGTGCATCCAGGAGTCAGTTCAGTGCATTATAAAGAAGAGGTTGGCTCCAAAATTAGCGTTTAGATCCAATCCTCCAGAGAGATGAGTGATGTTTGGCTCAGAGTTCTGGTGGCAGGCCCATTGCTAATGAAAAGCATTTCTTAAAATCCCAAGCCAGATCTTCAATGTAATTGAGCGTAGGTCCGTTACTGACCCTAAGTACCAAACTTCAGCTGAAAACCCAGTCTGACAGTTATAACCCGGTACAAGGCTTAGCTTACCCAATCTCAGAAGCCATTCTGGCGTCTTGATGCAGACAAAAAAAGACCACCGACTTACGTTCAGGCTTGCTTTCGCAGTTAAACCCTCTGCTTCCACCGTAGCAGGTACAGACTAGCGTGTTTCCCAGGTAAATGCGCTCCCACTGCTGGTTTATGTGGTAGTATTTTCCGTTGTCAAAACAGGTCTCTGGGGGGGAAGAGGAGGAGGGAAGCAGAGGGGGGGGAAAGAGAAAGAAAAGTTTGGCGTTACCGGAGGCGGAGGGCAGGGGCAAGGCACAGGCAAGTCGCGCCTACAGCGGGCACCGGCTGTCGTGCCACAGCCTCG